GGGGGGGGGGGGATTGGCCATTTGAAATTGGGAGGAGGCTGGGCAAGAGTTATAGGAGCCCATATTCTGGGTGCTCTTGGGAACAGTGACCAGAGAGTAAGGACACCCCCCCACACACCACCCTCCCTCCCCTCATTCAAGTCAGCCTATCCTCCTTTCCTCTCCTTTCCCAGAACCTGTCCCCCACTCCTTCCCCACCCAGTATCAACCAGCGGGTTATCTGGACTCTCAGGCTGTGCTATATGCCTAGGGGTGTCTCCTCACCCTACCCCTGCCCTTACCCAGGCCCTGCCCATTCCTAGCACTCCTAGCCCAGCCTTCCTTCCTAGAGGGAGGAAGAAGGACCGTTTCCTTCAGCAACCCACACCCTCCTGGCTCTGGGTTATGCAACAGCTGGCTCATTCTTTCCTAAAACAAGGGCTCTGGGCAGTGACTAAGTTTAAATTCTGGGCCTCCAAGCAAGAATGTCAGGGCTTCCTGAACTTTTAAGTGAATATAAAATATAAAAGAACCTCGCTCCCAGCACTGGCCTCCAGGCCTACCCTGGGACCCTAGAATCCACATTTGGGGAGTAGGGTCTTCCAGCAGCCCTGAGACACTGATACAGATTGGACAGGTAGGGTGGAGGGGGTTTGGGGGAGTGGGAGGAGGCAGTTCTCCTCCACTCTGCAGAGGTTCTGTGACCTCCTGCCCCAGGCTCTGACCCCAGGGTGCAGAGATCTGTCTTGTCCCCACACCCACATCACTTTATTTGGCTCTGCACATGGTTCTGGCAAGGGCTTTTCTCTTTGGCTCCAGCTCCTTGCTCCTGAATAAGACACAAAGGCCTGTGGGAAGTTGGGATGGGGACGAGATGGCTGCGCTCCCTGCAGGATCCCAGCGTGGTTTTTAAAATTGTTTGTGCTCCTCCTTTGTGGGTTATATTGCAGAAAAGCCCAATAATCTGCTAGCCTCTCAGATCCATCACTCTCCTCAATATTCCCTTCTTAAGCTCCCCTTTACCCCCTCCCACGTTGCTGCCACCACCACCACCCCTACAGATTTCCTCTGTTTAATGCTCCCACCTGCCTAGCTAGGTCCCTCCCTGCTGTCTAAATTGGGTTGCACAATTCAGTATCAACTACCACCCAGCACTGCACTTCTCCTTCCCCACCCCTCCAGCATGGAAGTCCAGAGCTGTATGCTGTCAGTGCTGGGATCTAACCAGGCTCTTTCTTGCAGACTGAGACTCATATATTTTGCTTTTCTTCCCTTTGGGATGCCCTCCACCTCAGCATCCAGAGCAGGGATTTGAAGTACATAGTAGGCACTCAGGATGGAGTATGGGCCAAGGTGCAAACCCCTGGGAATCTGTCTGGCCTCTGCGTGAGAGGAATTTGCTGAAAGCTTCTGCCAGGGCTGTGAAAAGGCTAGACAGCTTAGACTGTTACTTAGGCTTTTCCATAAATAAACTCTGCCTGGACTTCCTCCTTTTCTTGCATGTTATAGTCTGTTCTCCTGATCCCTTATGTTCTGTATCTCTCACACCCAGCCCCTCCTTCCAAATCCATGGCAGCTCCAGGTGCTGACTTCCTTTTGAGAACAAGACTATAAAGGAGGGGGCCTGCTTGCTTGGACCCTTTTGATCTTGAGTCTGAGGGAAGACAAGTAGTGGCATCATCCATAGACAAAAACACCCAGAGAGGAGTATCAATGACCACATCATGACATGGACTAAGTCTGGTGTGGGCCTGATGGGAACTGTTGTGATAACCTCAGCTGGGCTCCAGCCTCTGTTTCTGCCATCTGTTCCACATACAGCCTCCCAATTTGTCCTGCTGAGGCACAGTCCTGCTTGTGTGACTCTCAAAGGCCTTTGGTGGTATTCCATGCCACTCCCCCAATCCATGCTCCTCCCCCTCAACCTGTGGTTCCATCTGGCATTCATGGCCCTGTGGACAATGACCTTGGAAGCACATCTGCTCATCAGCTGGTTAGATCACCTTCCCTAGAACCCCTGGCAGTTTCCCATCTCTGGGCCTGAACTGAGGTAAGGGGAAGTGAAGGTGTAGCGTAACTGGTGCTCAGATGTAATTTCTTCCCTTGGACTCCCAAGCTTTCAGCTCACAAGGATTAAACTCTCCCTACATGCCCCTCACTACAAACCAAATTCTGCCATCTCTTCCTCTACCTGCTCTGCCAGCTGTCTGCCTTTCTCTGAATTCATCCAGATTATTTTGCTACTATCTTACATTTTTAAAAATCTTTTTTGTATGTCTTATTTTTCCAGTTGATGTGAGTGCTTTGAGATCAGGGGCCCCACAACTTTTTCATCTCTTTTGAGTCCCCAGTTTCCAGCCCACATAAGGAGTTTGGGATTGATACAAGTAAAGGTTAGTGTTTTTGGTGGGAGCAAAGGCAGTTTTGGGGAAGGGAAGTGAGAGGTGAAGGGAGTGCATCCCAACTCTTCTTCTTTTTTTTAATCCTCACTCCAGGATATTTTTTTCCATTGTTTTTTTCAGAGAGTAGAAGGGGGAAAGAGAGAGAGAGAAAGAGAGAGATACACATCAATTGGCACCAGGCCTGACTGGTGCCCCAGATCAAGCCTGCCACCGAGGTATGTGCCCTTGGTTGGAATCAAACACCGGACCCTTCAGTCTGCAGGCTGATGCTCTAACCACTGAGCAAAACCAG